AATGTGATGAAGATTCATTGCTCTACTCGCTCAGTCATTTTGAATGTGACAACCACACAGTACACATGCTCACTCAATGGTGTCTACTGCCCCCACTGACAGGTACAGTGAAGTCGTCATTGTTCATGCGTGCACATTCCAGTCCAGTCTCCTTGGCTCTCAGGTTACACTGATTTCACACAAACCATTCCCATTATAGTATCAATGGCTGGACTTTTTCCAGACAGACCTCATTGTACATATCAGGCTATCTCCATAACCAGACATCTGGGTCTTAAATAAGAAATGTTTCATCCTTCTGGTAAATATATAAACTGAACTTAATTTTAACAATAATTTTATCTTTTTCAATCAATGCCCATAATAATAAAGGGCACAGATACAGTTGTATCAATATTTAGTAAGTAAGCAAGTAAGTAAATAAATCTGGTAGAAAAGCTTTAAGTTCTCCCTATCTTTTAAGGGAAGGCCAGAGTTAATATTGACAACAATGTGAAAGTCATTTTTATTTCACTTTCCTCTATTTGATGTAGATGAAAGTAACTGATAAAATTCCAGGAAGACAGATCCAGAATGCATACTTTCTCTAACTATAGATTTGGCTCCATGAAAAAAAAAAGTAAGATGTCAAACTGATAGAAGATACCCAACACTTGACATTCTGAGGTTTCTTTTTTAAAGGACATACGTGACATGTGCATAATCTAGATTTCATTTCTCACAGGAAGGGAATATTATGGAAGAAAAGTAAAAAGAAGCAAATATCTAACATATCCTTGTTCTTTGCTATCTATTTTCTTCAGTGATTAAAAAAAATTTTCCCCCTTTTTTTAATTGTTGTTCAGTTACAGTTGTCTCACCTTTTCCGCCAGTGCTTTCCCTTGCCCATCCACTCCCCACGCCCACAGGCAAGTCCCTCCCACTGTGCATGCCCACGAGTCCTCTATTTGGAATATTCCTTTGTTTGTCCCCTCCCCTTCTGTCCCCCATTAGCCCCCTCCACCCTCCCCTCTGGTCACTGTCAGTTCTTTATTTCCAAGTCTCTGGTTCTATTTTGTTCATTTGTTTATTTTGTTGATTAGGTTTTACGTAGAGGTGAGATCCAAATAGTATTTGTCTTTTACTGCCTGGCTTATTTCACTCAGCATAATGCTCTGCAGTTCCATCCATGCTGTCACGAAGGGTAGGAGTTCTTTCTTTCTGCTGCATAGTATTCCACTGTGTGAATGTACCACGGTCTTTTGATCCACTTACTTACTGATGGGCACTTAGGCTGTTTCCAGCACTTGGCTATTGTAAATAACGCCGCTATGAACATTGGGGTGCATAGGTTCCTTTGAATTGGTGTTTCAGGATTCTTAGGGTATAATCCTAGCAGTGGGATCACTGGATGGAAAGGCAGTTCCATCTTTAGTTTTCTGAGGAAATCCCATGCTGTTGTCTGCGGTAGTTGTACCAATCTGCATTCTCACCAACAGTGCGCTAGGGTTCCCTTTTCTCCACAACCTCACCAGCCCTTGTTGTTTGTTGATTTATTAATGATGGCCATTCTGACCAGTGTGAAGTGGTATCTCATTGTGGTTTTAAATTGTATTTCTCTGATAGATAGTGATGTTGAGTATTTTTCATGTGTCTATGGGCCCTCTGTATGTTCTCCTTGGAGAAGTGTCTGTTCAGGTCGTTTGCCCATTTTTTGATTGGATCATTTGTATTCTTGGAGTGGAGTCGTGTGAGTTCTTTATATATTTTGGAGATTAAACCCTTGCCCGGGGTATCATGGGTAAATATGTTTTCCCACATGGTTGGTTCCCTTTTCATTTTGATGATGTTTTCTTTAGCCATGCAGAAGCCTTTTAGTTTGATATTCTTTAGGTAATCACAAATAATTTTTTCTTTCTTAAAAGGCCTTTACCATATTATTTCAGTACTAGGATTTTCAACTTTGAAAGGCTTAAGGGAATCTAGTTGAAAATATCAAAGCAAATTTCCCTTCTCTTCCCTTCCCTTCAGCTAGATCAATTGTGCTAAATGTTACAGCTGTTTTAAAAATAAAGGCTTAGTGTTTTTACTTCCTTTCCTTTTTGTTCATTCTTGGTTTACAGAAATAGAGGATCCTGACCAAAGTACCTAAGCAAACATATTGAACAGAAGTCAGGATCAGGTGTGAAATTTCTGGCTTCTTCCTTCACACCTTTCTTCTCTTTGCCCAAGGAAACAACTAGCACCTCTTTCAAATTACTGCCAAATGTAACTGAGGTGAAGGGGCCACCATCTTTCACAAGACCAGGTCAGAACAACTTTATTTCACTCTGCTTGGGTTAAAGAGTATGATTGGTAATATGCTAGCGTAAGTGCACAAACTATGTCCCTTGAATCATATCAGTTAAAAAAGGAAATTCTATTAGTCACTCTGCAATAAACTATAGTTGAATGAAAAATTACTTACCTACTCATAGTTTATAATGTTATTTAGGAGCATTTCCCAAAGAACTGAAATTTTGGAATAGTGTAAAATTTTGTTTCTCCTAAACATAATTATTTTTTAAATTTTGATCTATCATCTTCAAGTTATATTTTTGTCCATTCTTTCACTCCTGTACTTTTATCACATAAATTTGGGTAATAAATGCCTTTTACGCAATATGAAAAGTCTGTCATGCCTTACACAGAAGCAGCAGTGAGCATGTAATGGAATTCATTTTAGAAAAGAGGCTAATCATCATACCACTCAAATCATAAAGAATTAGATATGTGAAGAATATGCATATGTTTTCTTTTAACTTGAGGAAATACAAATGGACTACAATGAAAACATCTAAAAATAATTGCAGCAGAATTATAAAATGTGTATAAACATCACACAGTAAAAACAGTAAATGTTAAACATTTGTCATCTCCTAGGGAGGAGAGTTGAGAATCTCAACACTGAATAGAGAAAAAAAAATTCAGAGCATATGACAGGCAAATAGTAAAATTACAATGAGCTTGTTCCTAAGTTTGTTTTAAAAATAAATGTGGGAAGTATAATTGTTATATTTTAAAAAGCCATTTATTGTGAAGATTATAGGACAGTTTTTAGTTATTAGTAAATTAATTATATAGACTCTAACATCCCCTGACTGAAAACAATGTTTGGCTCCAAATACATGTTGAGCTTAACACTCTAGAACAAATACTCTTTGCTGTGTTCATATACAAATGAACACTGACAATTTTAAATCTAACCTTCACACTCCAGTAAAGATGAATTGTTTTAAAACACAGATCTGAATGTGCCATTCCTTTGCTTTAAAAAAAGAAAAAAAAAAGCCACCACACAATGTCACCTTCTTGTTACGGTATCTAGAGTCAGCTTGTCTTTCCATCTCCAGATGCTTCTCTCTTGCCTCCCTCTCCAAAGACACACCCGCGCCCCACAACATGCATTACTGACATGCACTCCCAAGCACCCCGGTCCTCCCTCAGTCTCCCGGGGCCCCCGCCCCATACCAAAACCTGCGGATGCTCTTGTCCCTTTCATAAAATGGCATAGTATTTGCACATCCTCCCATATACTTTAAATAGTCTCTGGATTACTAATAAGTCCTAATACAATACGCTGTAAATGCTACAAAAATAGTTGTGATGCTGCAATATTTAAGGGTCAATTTTCTGCAATTAAAAAAAAGTATTTTTCAGTCCAAAGTTGCTCGAGCCTGTAGTTGCAAAACCCATGGATGTGAAGGGCCGACTGTGTACCATCCACTCATTCAGTAAACACTGATCAAGTGCTGTCTACGTAACAGACACTCTTCTACGCACTGAGGATACCACAGTGAACAAAACAAAGTTTCTGCCCCCATAGACTTACATCCTGGCGGCAGAAGACAGACAAAAACAAACAAATACACAATAGATGAGGTGGCGATAAGTGGTATGGAGAAAAAGATCTATCCAAAAAAGCAACTCAGAGCAACACAGCAGAGAGCATTTCTCTATTCTACAGAAATCCAGCATGTCTTTAAAGGTACAATCAGACTTCTAAGTCCCTTAATTCATTACACTTTAATTTAAGTTACAATATAAAAACACAACACCATAAATAATGCTGAAAGGTAGTCATTGAGAAGCATAATAGAGTATAGCTCAATTATAATAATCTTTTTTCTTAAGATTAAAGTTGATAGAACCAAGAGTGTTTTTTCTCTGATTCTAGTGTTTTAGTTGGCTCCTGGATGCATCCTGAAAAAGTATTACTAGTGCTGGCACATTTCAAATGATGTCATGAGATTAGGATCTATAAAACTAAGTACTCATTTAGAATTTGTCTCATTGTTATTTCTATATTGTCTCTAACTATACCATGGCTGCAAATTTGGGGCCTAGAATTAAGAGTCCCAAGTAGTACTAGAACATTAGAGGCAGAAGCTTTTTACTGGTGATTTAAAAACAGCTGTTCAATTGTCTGAAGCATTTAAGTGCTTAATATGTCTCACATGAATATAGAGAGCTGAAACAACTGGAGCAACCTATATGAGAGCACTGTTTAAGATACAGGATATTACTGATGAATTTGACAATGAGCCAAAGAAAATTTACACAGACATTAATTGGCCTGTTTCATACGCAGGAAATAACAGTGATTTCCATCACCACCTAAATAATAATACATACTTTAAAAGATTTTAAAGGAATTCGGATTATACTCTGGGAATCTTCACTATTATTATATTATTATAACATATCCAGTCTTAGGACATGAATGAATGAATGAATGAACGAATGAATGAATTTAGTGCAAATGTTAATCTGTAAAGAAAACTAAAGGGGTTTTTTTAAGACGTCTTATTAAACTTCCAAATAACTAAACAGAAATAAAGTTCATTGTGATAGAGAAAAAAGTAGCTACCACTGCAATTTAAGGGCCAGGGCTCATCTTCTCTTTAAAAACCAAAACAAAAGAAACCTAACAAGCAAATTTCACTTCATTCTCATGGCTGGGAAAAAACGATTATACATACCGCATCCGTGATGTCTATTTCGTATACCCGTTGGAAAGTCCTGCGCTCAAAGAAAACAAGTTTGCCGCTGCCACATCCCCTTTGAACAGATGTGCCGGTTACTATTAGTTTATCATCTGGACTGAAACAGCAGTCGGTCCTGCGGACCATAAGAGTGTATAAGATTATGACCCCACAACAGAGCAGCAGCAGTAGGTGAGTTAAAAAAAACATAAACAAGATCATTGTAATAAGAGGTAACTCTTAAATAGGACTTACAAATCAAGCACTTAAATTAATTCGGTTAATCTTCACAATAATCCTATGAGGTAGCTATTACTATCCCTGTTCCACTGATGAGGAAACTGAGGCAGAAGGAGATTAAGTAAACTTTGTTCAAGATCGCAAAAGTAAGCGATGCCACTGGGATTCAAAGATAGGTAGTCTGATTCCAAAAGTTGTGCTTTTAACTTCTACACATTAGAATATTTTTTAGGGCAAAGAGAGTGTGGGAAAAACTCCATATAGCCAGCGACAGTAACTATACACAAATAGACACTGTATGACTAATGTCTCAGTAGTGATTACTTTAACCAGTTTTGGAGCAATTTTTTTACTGCCACCATCACTCAAATAATTTGAGATTTGTCGAGTCAAACACCATGAAATGAGGAGCAGGCGGCACCGCTGGAACCTAATTGGTGGCTATGATTCAACAGCCCTTGTTATTAGGATCTGGCCACTGATTGTGAATAATCTAAGTCATGATCCAAGCAAGTTATGTAGTTAACATTACTTGTAACAGACATAAGAGCTCAAAAAATTTCTCATCAGCTATAAATTCGCCTATGTCCATCTGTCTGTCTTAACAGATCAATGCGTGGGCTGCAGACCATGTCCCAGTCAGCGCTGTTACTACACAGCCTCCTCCGCTCAGCGCTCCCCTTGACTCCACGTTCTCCCTGCTGGTCATTAGTGAACACAGCAGTGAAATTTTGTTTCTACCAAAATAGAAAATTTTGCTTAGACAACAACTGTAGGATGCAGATGTCAAACTCCATCTCGGCTGCCTCGGAAAAAAAATCTTTAAAGGCTTCACTCGCCAGCTTTTAGAAGGACGGAGAAAACAGTACTCAGCTACCCAGAGCAAGATGGCATGAACAGAGGAAGGCTACTGAATTACTGAATGAAATGATGATTTTAAAAATTTAAGAAAACTATATATAATAATTCGTGCTAACTAGAAAATATTGCTTTGATGGTAAAGAGTTCAAATTATAAAAGACAACAGAAATGTAGGCCTACCCTGTCATTTACACAATAGTAAAGGAACACATCAGTCCCTTAAAATATTTTTACTACCCCAATACCTATGCAAGCATCCAATATAAATATGGGGACTGTCCAGAAAGTATCCAGTCACGTGCTATGAAAAATAGAGCCTTTTATTGAAGAAGATACGAGATACACTGTACATAGGACAGCGATGCCTCAGTCCCCTTCAAAGAAGGCACCTTGGGGCCTCACACAGTTCTCACAATCACCACCAGCTGCCCTGAATCTCACTGACGGTCTGAAATCTCTTCCCTTTCAAAGGGGATTTTAGTTTAGGAAAAGCCAGAAGCCACAGGGCACCAAATGTTGGCTGCAGGGAGGCTCAGTCACCTGGGTGACTTGATGTTTTGTCAAAAAACTCTGCAGGAGATGTCAGGCATAAGCGGGTGCGCTGTTGTGATGAAGCTGCCAATCACCCGTTGCCCACAGCTGCGGCCTTCTGAATCATCTGAATAGTTTCCATGGAGGAATGTTCAAGCTTAATGCAAAATTTGATGCAGATTCGTTGCTCTACTGGCTCAGTCATTTTGAATATGACGGCCACATAGTACACATGCTCCCTCGATGGTGTCTACCACCTCCACTGACAAGTACAGTGAAGTCATCATTGTTCACACATGCTCATTCTAGCCCACTCCCCATGGCTGCCAGGTTACATCGAAGTGGCACAAATTGTTCATTAACAATGGCTGGACTTTTTCTGGACAAATCTCGTGTGTGTGTGTGTGTGTGTGTGTGTGTGTGTGTGTACACAAAAACACATGAACATACATCATGTCAACCTCAAAAAAATTTTTAGGGCTGAAGAATGTACAAAATAAAAAGGGAAAATGAAATGCATTTTTCAAAAAAACCTATTTCAAACACTCCTTAAATCCCTTTTCAGAAGATCTAAGACATATGATATAAATTAACATTAAGGTGAATAAATTTGTTTTCCATTCTCTTATGCTTATCAAATACTAAAAATATGCTACTTACATTGGGAACATGGTTGGAAGACCTGAAGCTGAAAAAAGTGGTTTATTAAACTGTCGGATGTCCCATAATTTTAATGTATCATCACCTGATAGAGAAATAAGAAAGAAAAAAGATAAAGTGAATTGTGCAAAAAGAACTAGTTTCAAGTTTGGAGTTTCCTAAACTTAGCATATGAATGGGGACCCCCCCCCCAAAATGGAATTATCTTCTGGAGGGCAGGCCCTTTGTAGTACAAGCTTCCCTTGCTAGGTGAGTGTTCTAGGAACCCGTCTATATCAGTGGACCAGCTGGCGTTAGCTGTGAGAGGCTGCGTTCTGCTTCAGTGAATTTTTCTGAGGACTCTTTGAGTGCATTTGCCCACTTCATGATAGATGATTTCCGAACACACTCTGAGTGTTCAGCAGTTTTTAGCCCAATAACAGCAAGATCCTCATGCCCCACCCTCCCTAGTCACTCGATCTCACCCCCAGCAACCTTTTTTGTTTGTTTCCTGAGGTGAAAAAAGTCCACAATGGGAACTGTTTTGCCAGTGTGAAAAAAATGAAATAAAAAAAAAATGGCAAAAGCACTAAAAGGAATTAAAATCGACAAGTTCAAAAACTGTTCTGGCAGTGGGGAAAAAAGTCTCAATAGGTGTATTGTATCAAATGGAATGTACTTTGAAGGTGACTGAGGTTTAAATATGTAAGAATAAATACATAATTTTTATAAATACATTCCATTTTGGGGATCCCCCTTATATAACTATCAGAAGGGAGATAAAGGGGAGGAAAGGAGGTGCCCTCAAGCAGATTTTACATTTTTAACTGTTTGGGAAGCTTGAAAGCATTAGTTGGGAGAACAGCAGAATATATATCATAATGAACTGGTCTTCTAGAAATTACTTTCCAGATTGATGTAGCATCTGCAGCTAGAAAGAACCCTAGAGAATCTAAAGAGTGATTTTAGAGCAGCTGGTAGTTCCCCTGTGGCAGACTTGAGCATAACCTGACTTTTTAGGAAGATATTAATTTAACAACTGTCATGACTGAAAGTAGCGCAATTCTCAACAGGCTCTTTCTCCCCGGAGTATGTCTGTGAAGCTCTCCATTACAGTTAATGCGGGGGGGCCGCGGGGCTCCCGCCCCTCCGGTTCGTCTCTGTGGCTAGCATCCTTCACTTTGCTGGGCAGTACAACTGTCCCAAGCTATTTAAAGTATCATGAATATTCTTTTAAGAATCACTTTTTTATATTTCTGTAGTGCTACTAGCTAATTCCTGACCGTAATGAAAGCCAAAACTCGTATCAGCAACATCTTTGCTGTTCTTTCTCCCCAGCGTCTGCAGCTGAGACCTGCCCCGGCCCCTCGGGTCCAATAAGGAACAGTAACAGGTGCTGGTGAGGTGAGTGGCGAGTTCAATAAAAATCCCACTCTCCCCAGCGACACTTCCTCTGAAACCCAACTTTTGGCAGGTGCACTGATCCACAACAGGCTGGACTGGGGACCTGCCTGTATTGGAGAAACTTTTTAAGACTCAACCTTTTTGCTTTAGTCTTAAAAAAAAAGGTTACATATCCTCCCTTGAAATTCTCAACCAGTAAGAAAACATTAACCTCCATTAAACAGTTGAGCTACCTCGGCAGGCACTGGAGCTGGCCGAAGCACCCCACAGCACCCCGGACTCTGCTGAATAGACCTTCATCTGCCACAGTCTACACACCCAGAAAGGAAAATGATGGAATATAGTACACACATGCCGTGTTGATGACCGACTCATCACCCAATAGCTACTACAGGGTGAAAGGTAAGGATTATCAGCCAAATGACCGACTGAAATGGAATCAGTCCTATACTTCCACGGGAGTGACTATCAGCGGGTGGAGCCTGGCCTATTTGAGAATCCTCTGGGAAGAATTTTCACACTATGCTCCCCTCTTATTCCCCTCTCCTCTCCTCACTCTGCCTTGGAGGTTTGGATATACCACGTTAAAGACGCTAGAGTATAAACGTGAGAATTTCTAAGTAGAACATGTATCATTTGAAAAACCTAACCAGGGGATTCAGACATCCCCCTGGGGTAAGAACCAGGGTTTGTAAGTAAGAGTATATACAGTCTTAATTAAGAGTCATCTACATGTCTACTTTTTGCCATGTATACGATAAATAGGAAATACGTGCACATGAGCTATGATTTAGTTTAATTATGTAAATGAGGGTAGCCTTCTCTGGAGGACAGAGAGTCTGAATGGAATTCTGGAGGGTAAAGGACCTGGACTGGTTACGCGGGAGGACACTGTGCCACGTCGCCACACATCCTCCTCACTTCCTCCATCCTCTACAGCAGAGCAGGCTGCCAGTTCTTTCAGGGAAGAAGCCCCGCCTCTGATGTTCATGGTTTATACCCATCACAATGCTAACTCAGAGCAGCTGCTCAATACATAGTAGCTGAGTAAGTGAATGACTACACGTTGTACTGCTAGATTAATCTGCCCTGCAAAACAAAGATTAAACCCCTTATGTGATATTTAAGGCCATCTGTAATACGGCTCCGGCCTCCTTACCCAGCTGTCTCTTTTCTCTCCCCACAGATGGGCCTGCCTGACGATCCCGAGTCACGTCCCATACTCCCCCATAATGCTTTGCTCATGAGCTGCCCTCACTACACTCATTTCTTTCTATCAACACACAGCTTACCCATGCGAGAAAGATTTAGGATAAAACTAGGAACAACCTCTATTCAACCATATCAGTGTGGTAAGTAAACTTGCAACACAGCCACAGGGAACTCTGTCACTATTAAAATAACATCCAGGCATACAACTTTTTTTAACTAAATTGAGATAGTGAACTGGGGGGAGGGGCAGGGGGAAACAATGGTCAGCAAAGAGAAGACTTTGAGACACCAGACCCAGAATTATAAAAAGGTATAAAAATATAGACTATCATCTACAAAATTCTGTTTAAGTCATACTTGGAAACTTCAAACTTGCATGGAATTTGAAGCTAAAATAAAAACTTAGGCACAAAAGTACAGAATTTCTAAATTTTACTTGATACCTTTTAGTAAAATAATATTGCCAGGTTGGGCATGCATTTTAATGAAAAAAAAAATCAGACTGGCAAAGGTACATTAACCAAAGCACAGCGAGCTTTACTAAGTGCTAAACTATCAGAGCAACATTTGTTAGTGTTAAATACAATCACTTTATGTTTAGAAACACATCAAAAAGGACGTTTCTAACCTACCTCCGCGAGTGGCAAGGACATTACCATCATAGGAGAAAGTCACGCAGGAAGTGTCTGTGCCAGGGGCGTGCGCCTGCTTGTAGTGGAATTTAGGATGAACCTGTTCGAGAAGACACACAAAGTGTTAACATCTCATCTGAATTCAGATGAGAACATTTCTGTGGCAAGAACATTTCACTTTATCATCCAGAAAATGCTATACATTTATCTACATGTAAAATATTAATTTCACCTGATCATGGTTTTATTTACTCTGGGGGGTCGAGGGAGTTTTAAAAGACTTAAAAACACCCAATTGCTTTAATAAGAAGTAAGAAAGGGAGAAGGTGAGTCTTACTAGAAGACAGTTTTCAGACCACCTTAGTAAGCTGTTGCTTAGTAAGCAATCAAGATTACAATAGCATTTAGTTTTTCATATTATACTAACAAAGTACACCATATAATGATTGGAACCATTTCTTACAGTTATCTGAAAGAGTAAATACAAATAAAAATCACAATTGAACATTACTTATTAAATCAAAAACATCTTTGCATGCCTCGCACACAGACACTGCACACACGGGCGTAGGTCTCACGTTACCCTTCCTGTGCCCGTAGGGCGGTGGTGGCGGCGGCGGTAAGGAAGGTGGTGGTGACAATGAGGGTGGCAGCCGACCCTCCCACAGTGCTTGTTATACCCTAGGCACCATACCCTGTAATCTGGCCTATTTAGTTCTCACAATCGCTCTATACATTCGGTTCTACCATTACAATCTCCATTTTACTGAAGCACAGAGACTTGGGTACCTTGTCAGACATCACCCATCTAGGGAGCAGTAGAGCTGGGAGTATGAACCAAAAGGCCTGCTCTTAAACACGACATTATATTCTTCTACTAATGTATGTTACTAGCCTTTTTAATTCCAATGTCACTTGCACACAGTTAAAGACATAAAAAAGTGGCTCTACTACATTACCCTTGCCACTCCGTTATGGTTCAGTAGCACAGGCCAAAGCACTAGAGAGACAATTATCCCAGATCCACCAGGCTGGGTATTTCTATAGTGAATGGACATTTGTATATAGAAAGGACATTGCTAGTGATGAAAACATGTAGGTCTCTCTCCTGGAGTCCCAGGTAGAGGAATACAGGCCACTCTCTCCACTGGCCCTGCAGAAACCCTAACAATTACGTACAAAACAGCTCACGTGTGCCATCCTCCAACAATATCACTGACATCCCCTCATTGAGCTTCCTTCTAAAAGCTTCCAATAATGAAGGGGACACTACATAACAAAAGCACGCAGGTTCTTTTTTTAACCCTCAACCGAGGATATGTTTTTATTGATTTTAGAGAGAGAAGAAGGGGGGGGGAGAGAAAGAGAAAGAGAAACATCTGTTGGCCAACCGGGGATCAAACCCACAACCCAGAAATGAGGGGGACCCCCCCCAAAAAAACCCCCAGAATTTATGTATACAAAATTATGTATTTATTCTTACATGTTTCAATTTCAGTCACCTTCACAGTACTCTCCATTTGATGCAATACACCTATCGAGACTTTTTTTCTACTGCTCAAAACAGTTTTTAAACTCATTAATTTTGGAGCCTTTTAATGCTTTTGCCATTTTTTGTTTCACCTCTTCACACTGGCAAAAACGTTTCCTTTTGAGGACTTTTTTCATCCAGGTAACAAACAAACAAAAAGTCCCTGGGGGCAAGATCAGGTATATTGGGAGGGTAGGGAACAGGGGTCATGCCATTTTTGTTCAAAAACTGCTTAACACTCAGTGCGGTGTGGGCAGGTGCACTCCTACATCACCCATCATGAAATGAGCAAATGCACTGAAAGGGTCCTCAAAAAAATTCACTGAAGCTGAACACAGCCTCTCACAACAATGCCAGCTGGTGCCCTGGTACACATGGGTTCCCAGTGGGGGAAGCCTGTTCTACAAGGGGCCTGCGCTACGGAAGATAATTCCATTTGTTTTTGGGAGTTCCCCCTCCTATGTGCCCTGACCAGGGATCAAGCCCACAGCCTTTCGTGTACAAGATTACATTCCAACCAACTGAGCTACCCAGACAGGGCTGTTTATTTGTTTATAATAATTTGTCTATATTGAGTTAAAATTGTCTCCCTTCTTCCTCTGGGTCACAGTTTTGGAAAGCTGTATCAAAGACAAATCTGTTATCATGCTTCTGCCTTTTGTTGATACAAATACTTCATCTATTCAACTGTTGTTTAAATTAGGCATCAGCTACATGGCAGATACAAAGTTAGGCAGGGAAACACAAATATGTCCAGATAAACATGCCTTCTCCCCACAGAGTTGACAGAAAGTCCCCTGAGAGGAAGCTGAGGAGCATACAAAGTGACAAGTGGTACAATGGGGAAGTACAGCGCAAACCCTGAGCACCGAAGAGAGGTTCCAAACCCAAACTTGAGAATAGGGGGAAAACGGGGACGAACGGAAATCAGAGACCCAGTGGGTAAAGTAAGAGTCAGCAGACGAAGAACCTGTGAGACACAGGGACGTTGCAGGAGGCAGACTTTTGATCCCCAAGCCCTCTGGCCCCTGGCGCAATGCCCATGAATATGTTACTCAACATGGCAAAAGGGACTTTGCGGGTATAATCAAGGTTACTAATTAGTTGACCTTAAAACAAGGAGATTACCCTGGAGTATCTAGGTGGGAATAAAGTAGTCACATGAGACCTTAAAAGAAGAACTTCCTCCTGGCTGAGGACAGAAGAGGAGGCCACAGAGAAGAGTAAATCAGAAAAACTCAAAGTATGAGAAGTGTTTGACACGCCACTGCTGACTTAAAGCTGTGTCAAGGAAACGGAGACCTTGATTCTGCCAATAACCAGGTGGCGTGGAAGAGGACCCCAGGCCCCGAATGAGAGCCACAGCCCCGGCCAACGCTGTGATTTCAGCCTGGGGAAGCCCTGAGAAGAGAACCCAACCACACCATGCCAGACTTCATATCTACACACACTGTGAAGTAATAAATGGCTATTTTTCAAGTCACTAAACTTGTGGTGATTTGTTAAGAAGCAATGGAGAACTAACACATGCGTATTGAAAGATAAAAGGGCTGGTTGCATTCAAAGAACTAAAAGAAGTCAACCACAGCCAGAGGGAAAGGCGAGGCGGGAGAGGACACACGGGGCCCAGGCCACCAGGGGCCGTGGAGGCTCCACTATGGCTTCCGTTCTCTCCTGAAGGCAAAAGGGAGCTGCTAAGAGTCTTCCGAGCGGAGTAACTGCACTCAGACAAAGAATGGATTGGGAACTTTTTGTTGCCTGGAAAAACAAAATTCTGCTACCAACCTCTAAGAAAAATTTGCTACCTTGTCATACTTCATCAAGTCATAAACTACTAACCTCTTAAAAAAAGCTTTTGAAAGGTATTGTAGTGGTAACAGTACCAAAAAGTCCTGTGCTTAAATTTGGCCACTCAGTGAAATTAATGTCGTTCTCCTTTTAATTTGTTTTAAATGTTTTGTTCTTAATGCTCGTAAGTACAAATACACATCTAAACAGAAGGAAGGGCCACATATGCAAGTGGTAAGGCCCTGAAAAGAGGGGTGACTCCGTGGGCTGGGCACCATCCCACAAACCAAAAGGTCCCCAGTTCGGTTCCTAGTCAGGGCACATGCCTGGGTTGCAGGCCAGGCCCCCCACTGAGGGTGTGCAAGAGGCAACAAATCAATGTTTCTCTCTCACATCAATGTTTCCTTCTCTTTCTCCCTCCTTCCCCTCTCTTTAAAAATTAAATAAAACCTAAAAAAAAAAAAAAAAAAAAAAAAAAAAAAGAGGGTACTGTTCCAGGGCCAGGAGATATGAAATCCACACCTAATTCAGTCAAAAACTCAGGGACAAATTACTTAGCCTTCCCAGATCATAATTCAGCCTGCTATAAACTAAACGACTGACCCAGGTGATTTCTAAGGTTCCCTGCAGCCATATGATTCTTAAGGAAAAGACAAAACGTGGCAAATACATAGTATCTTATAACTTGACTAGCTGATCAATACGTACATTTAGATCTTGAATGCCAACATTCAAAAATACAAATTCACGCGTGTGTGTGTGTGTGTGTGTGTGTGTGTGTACATGCACATATACCAATAAAGTGGGATAAAGAACTTTAAAAGATGTAGCATCCAAAGGAATCATGTCATATAAACTTCAGCATGAGCCCAGGGGCAAGCAGGTAGTTCCATGTGATGTCTAGTTCTAACACTGGTGCTCCAGGGAGAGGACGAGATGGGCCAGGAATCTGCTCCCCGTGTCCCTCTATGGGAGTCCCTATATGTGTCCTTCCCCTGTGCTTTCTACTGTCCTGGGTGAGGTCCTAGGAGTTAAAGAAAAATGCCATGTGGTGCACAAGCAGAGAAAAAATGATCTGTGCCAAAAGTTAAGAAAACTTCTCTTGGATCTAACAGGAGACAGGGCCAATACAAAACAATGAACTGAATGGGGGAAAAAGGGATTTTGACCAAAGGTGATTTTGCCTTAATCTAGTAAGAAAGGACTTTACCAGACATTTACCGGCTACACTTTTATGTCTTGTCATGTAGCTACTACTTTAAAGGGCCATTGTATTGGAGGGCGGGTGTTTCGAAAGTTTTACAATTCATTATTTATAATGCAGAAAGAGTGAACATGTGCCACAAAGTAGGACCCAGCCTGTCTTGCTGACTTCCCATGGTATTTTCTATCACTATATAGATTTACATCTTAGTACAACATGGTTTAAAGTCACAACAAATGGCTGCATAGTAATAATTAATCTTGCAAGGGTAGGGAGAGATGGCACTCAAAACAATCTAATCAGTTTCACCTTTTAAAGGACCTAATGAAATAAAGAGGACAATGTCTTCCAATGAGATGGATGGCTCACAAATTATGTGTCAAAATGCTCTTCTAGTGTTAACTTCACTTTCACCAGTGACTAAAGTTTATTCCAATGAAATAAAACAGGTAGCCAGAGGGGACCCTAAACTTGCCTAAGTCATCAACACTTGCACAGTCCACGACGACCTCACCTTTTAACACAAAGTCAGCCTGACTGAAAAATGCTTCCGCCATAATGCGGAAACCTAAAACTG